AGTGACAGTGACAGTGAAAATAAACAGCATTGTTTGCACACTTGAAAACAAAAATAATAAAAAGCAATTAAAGAAAAAGTTTTTTTTCTCAAAACAATCTGATTCTAAATTTCACTGATATCAATGATGTCTCCTGTAATGACCAAATGCGTTATTCCTGACATCAATATCTATATACGGTGCTAAATACCTGGGTTTAGGAAGCTTTGGCTTGGGGGCTTTCCAGGGGAACAGAAGGTATACAAATAGATGGACAGGTCCTTTATTTTTAATGGAGATATACTTTCATCCACTTCACCTGCCCAAGTCTGTCCCAAAGAAGAGGCTTGTGGTATTGCCAAATATGCCAACTCTTCATTTATGTGCTATTTTGTTACAGTGGCACAATTACCATTTGCCATGTCAGAGTAACAACACTATAAGTATACTATTGATTAGAAAGGCAACTCTAACCTACTAAATTTACTGCCCCACATCCTTTTCGATAATTATGTTATCACAAGAAATAGATATCACTTCAAACTAATTACAAGTTTTCATCATAAAATATTATTTTATGCATGATTATTAGGAATGATGTTATTGAATCACTAAGAAGTATAATTAAAATAAAGATTTTTAAATTATATCTGCCAACCAAATCTGTGAATTAAATTCATTATACTAAATACTGAAGTACAATTTCAAATTGAAACTGAAGATATGTTCAAGATATTAAAAATAGTAACTGGGTGGGTGTGCATATATACACATGTATATACTGTCACTATCCTCTTGTTCATCGATTTGCTCGAGCAGGCCCAGTAACACTGTGAGACTTGTTACTGTGTTTAGCATCTCGATTACATCATGGGTAACTTGCCAGGCTTTGCCATGCGGAGAGATACTCTCGGTAGCTTGCTGGGCTCTCTGAGATGGGCAGAGGAATCGAACTCGGGTTGGCCATATCGGCCGCGTGCAAAGCAAACTCCCTACCTGCTGTGCTATCGCTCTAGCCCATGTATATACAATCTTTGAGAATATACCCCTTTCCCTCATAAAAGAAATGGAAAATAAACGTTTCCCATATAACCCAACATATTTCATATAGATTGTTATTCAAATCTTCCCAAACCAAACCAAACAAGTGACTGAGAAACTATGGTTAAATTTAGAGGCTTATGTGAAATTAAAAAATTTACAGCAAAATCTCTCCCCCCTTTGTTCATCGATTTGCTTGAGCGGGCCCAGTAACGTCTCAATTGTGAGACTTACTGTTACTATGTTTGGCATATTGAATACTCTTGGTAGCTTGCCAGGCTCTCCCAGAGGGGCAGAGGAATCGAACCCAGCTCAGCCAGGTGGGCTGTGCACAAGGCAAACGCCCTACCGCTGTGCTCCAAAATAAAAAATTAAAAAATTATTAAATAATAATCCAAGGTCATGCAGATATGTTAATTTGCATAAAACTGGAAAGAGAGTGTTTCTTCTCTGGAGTCTGTACTATCCCTAGTACAGCTGGGAAATTGCAGGTCAGCGATATAATCCCCAAAGCTGCCTTGAGGGTGGGGGTGGAAGTGCCCAAAGGGATTAATTTAAATGACATATATTTAAACTACTGTCTAGTATTTTCTAGTACTTTAGGAAGATCCTGAAGGGTTTAAAGACTGGAAAAGTCCCCACTATGGAAAACAAGGATTTTCCAAATCTGTGACCACTGCCTGGGCCTGGCTCTAGTGTAGAGAAAAGCCCTAAGAATCTCCCAGGCCCAAACAGGGCAGGCTGGACTCCTATCCACGCTGAGACTTGTACGGAAAATGAGAGTTCAAGTCTACCACTCACTCACTGCGCTGCCTTACACTGGCATCTTCACATTGGCCAGGACTGGTCACTACTGACATAAAGAGAGGAAATTAATTTCTTGGCTCCTATGAGAGTGTCCTGCTCTGTCCTGAGCCACTCTGCAGGACCTCCCAATAAATAACAGGGTAATCCTAATTGCAAAGCCTCTAGTCTTGCTATGTTTATGCAAAATAACCACCTTAGTTTATTAAAAACAAACCATCTGATAAATTAGGTGAAAAGGTGGAAAGAAAACTGTTTTAATAACATGCTTTCTTAAAAATAAATCTACAACAGGCTACTATGCTGGCAACAATCAATTTCCAAACATCACACCCCTCCCCTAGACAGGTGATCTCTCCAGCCCTTCATGTTTGTGCTGCTTAGAGAAAACATGTTGCTTCTATGTCAATAGGTATGACTAAATCCAGAACAATCTTCCACTCAATTAAAAGAACTCCCAGCTTGAGGAACTGGCTTTTCAGGGTTGGCTTTCACGAAAAATACTTGGTGTTGTTCTCCTGGGTCCTGCCTTTCTTTGGTCCCTTGCTGGGCCTCTGTCTGTCATTATCAACAGGAACTGGACTTTTTAAACTTCTGGTCAAATTTTGTTTTCTCTAGGCCCAAGGCCATTGGCTCAAGTACCTCTTTGGCTTTCACCTCTTCCCTGCCCCGCACCCCCCCCCCCCCCATGTAAGAATTTGCCAGCAGAAGGTTTCCCCAGATCTTATCTATTGTGTAGAAATCAGAAGGAATGAGTTATGCTGTGTTTTATTTGAAAACATCTGTTTCTCTACTGAAACATCAATTGATGAAGATAAAAGATAAAAATTTGTCTTTCTCAAATACCACATAACGTCAAATATCTATGATTTATAGGGAAACAACATCAGGGAATGGAGTATTAAATGATGATGAAACCTTGGACTTGGATGACATCACTGAATTTACAAAGCAGTGTGTGTGTTGGGTGGAGGGTATAGGGCAGGGGACTGGGAGAGTAGAAGTGACGCAACGGTGGTGGTGGGTCTGGGTACTTTGGTGGTGACAAGGATGCAATACCTTTTTATATCAAAAACAGAAATGCAAACACCACTGCAACCAATTGGCTAAATTACTATAAAATAAAGTAAAACAAAAATCTGACAGCCCCCACCAGCCAAACTGGGAATGCTACATATTACTCTTAGCAACATAAAGGGACCTAAATTAAGATATCTGTGAGAAACAAAAGGGAATCCTTTGGTACATTACTCTGATAAGAATCTTCCTGAAGGCATTTCATTAACAGGAGAGTACTGAGGATGAAGACAGCTGAGAGGTGTACAGCTGTAGGGGGTGGGGGTGGGGGTGGCACAGAAGTCTCCCATCTCTACTGCCTTGCATCTTAACTTGGACCTTCACTGAAAGGAGTCTGAAGTGAGAAGGCACATCAAAGATCGCAGTAAACAATCAATCAATGCATATGACTATAAACTACACTAGTGATGCAGAAAGGAACAAGTGCATACTGAGCAAGCCAGAAGAGAGCTCAGTTTTCATATTATGCAAATACATTTTGCTAGTGATATTTTCTATTTTTATAAGAATGATTCTCATTACAATTTTTACTATGTGAACTACAAAACTGTGTATCTGTTTTAACAGGAACATATACATAATTATGCTGTGGAGATATTTTCAAAAGTGTCAAAATATGAATTAAAGCAGTGACACTTTTTAGAGATTCTTATTCGGTTCTAAAACATGCTGCTTACAGAAAGAAGACTGGTTAAAATGGTTAGACCTTTGTATGGAGCAGTTCCTAAAATAACAGTTATTTTATCTGATTTAATGTTCAGCTCTGGTTATATTCTGTAGAAAACTTCTGATAGAATTAAATGTGCCTAGTGAAACCAGAGTAACTCAACTCTCCTCCATTTTCTGAGGAAAAAATTCCTATTCCCATGGTGACTGAGGGGAAATAGAAAATTCTCTCAATTACAAGCCCTGCCTCAAACTATCAGGTGGCACTGTTATCAGAGCCACGACCTTTGGCACAAGTGCTTCTCATTCGAAAGTAGAATGGGTATCTGTAATGGAGGTTAAATGAAGTTCTACTAAAGTATGTAAATGTGTTGCCCTTTTGGTCAGGTCGGCGAAAAATTTGCTAATTTCCTTTTCCTTTGGGGGATAAATCAGATCTACTGCATGTATTCCAGGAAATATACGCATATAGCACTAAGACAATAAATCACAAAATTTCAATATTTGATCAAATAAAAATTTTTGCACTAAATTAACACAACTAAAGAAATATGCATCTCTTTTCTTCTCTCTCTGTCTCTCCCTCGTTTGTGTTTTGGGCCCCATTCAGCAGTGCTCTATCACTCCAGGTGGTATACAGCGCTGGGAATCAAACACAGGTTGGCTGCATGCAAGGCAATTGCCTTAACCTCTGTAGTATCTCTCCGACCATGGGAAAAAAATTTCTTAGGGTGCTGAAATAATATATCCTTAATAGTGACAGATGAAATTAAATCTATTAAACCTTAGAAAGAAACATAATTAAATAAAAATATTCAATTCTTTTCCCAATACTTAATCTGTTATCCTTTAATGGTTACAAATATTTTCTTTCTCTTTTTTGGTTTTTGGGCACACCCAGCAGGTATTACTCCTGGCTCTGTACTCATGGCAGTGCTTGGGGAATCACACAGCATGCTGGTGTTTGAACCTGGATTAGATGTGCGGAAGGCAAATACTCTACCTACCTGCTATACTGTTGCTTTGGCTCCTGGTAACAAACTTTGTCAATAATCTTTTGTGTGTCTTACTGGTGAGTGGTAATTCTAGAATTATAAAGACGCAACGAATGACTTCTGGTTTCACTTAATGGTCTTTGCAGATATAAAATGAGATTTTACCACTGAGAATTCTATTTTTGTATGTTTAAATTTGTCCTATCTTTAAAGTGAAGACCTAGAGATTATAGTCTAGTTCTTTCACTTAAAAATAAGAAAATTAAGGTTTATACTAAAGAAGTGACAGAACTTATTATTCACAGTGTTGGAAGAAGACCGAATTCTAGTCATATGCTTTTCATCATTCCCTAGAAGAACAATACAACCAAATAACCAAAAAATTTCTCCACAACAAAAAGCATAGTTTGTGTTTTTGACAATGTTTTTGATTTTTACCTCTGAAGAGATTAGCGATGTCAATTTCTTCTTTTCCTTTGATTTTCAAACACTTTGCCTGCTGTACAAGTCTGGGCAAAGAACAGAAATAAAATCTAGATTCATTATCCTGTGAGGTTGGAATTATGATAATACAAATGTAAATAGAAACCAGAGGGTTAATAGTAGTGAATTATCAGGTATTTTGTTGCATAGGTTCTTTCTAAAATTTTTCTTATAAATTTAAAATTTTACAACTATACATTTTTTGCATTATATTTATAAAAGTTTGTTGCCCTAATTTTCCTTCATTCTATGACAGTAAAATGTTTCTAAGATTTTGATAATAACTTTTTTTCAGATTATGAAGGGAAACAATTAGAGATGGTAGGTGATAGAGTAGGTGGATAAATAATAATCACTACTGATGATTTGATGATTTTAGTACTTATTTTAATCAAGGGATATAGACATTGTGCTTAAAGAACTGTATAAAGTATTTTAGCTACACTGTTTAATGTCAAAGAATTAATTAACTTTTAAAATGCTTTACTATGCAGTAAGAACTAATTTTTTAATTCATTATAAAACTATCAAAATTTGAACTTGATAGAATGTAATGAATATGAAAGTTTCTAAAATGAAACTTTTGCACTGTTGATAATTACCAGTGATTAATTTTAGGTACATAAGGCTTGAAATAGCTGATTACATATATAATTACAATTTTAATGGAATTTTTTATACACTGCTTTGCAAATACATTTTCTTATTGCACATGGACATGACTCCCTTATTCCCACTGACAAGCCTTTGAGCTTTGAGCATGAAATAATTGTTTTAATTTATGTTTTAGATGAGAAAAGTTTCAGTTATCAAAAGTTATACGGAACCTCAGTGACATAGACAATTTGGGAAAAATCTAAATGAACTATATGTTCTATACACATGCATGTTATGGTAGAAACATCTTCTATTTATCAGTAAGGTTTTTCTTACCCTACCATTAAGACATTTATCAGAGAAACAACACCAAAAAAAGAATTTATATTGAAGTTCCAACCTGAGTCTTTTTTTTTTTTTTTTTGCTTTTGGGCCATATAGAGAGGTGCATGGGGCATGCTTCTGGCTCTATACTCAGGGATCACTCTTGTTGGAGCTCAGGGGATCACACGGTGTGCCAGGGATCAAGTCACGTCTGCTGTATGCAAGGCAATACCCTCCCACTGTACTGTTGCTCCAGGTACCCAACTTGAAATCTTAAAGAGATCTTCTTAGAGCTACTGTGGCACTAGTCCCAGGGGGCTGATAACCTGGGACACACTGCAGACCCCAGGGAGTCACTGCAGAGAATCTGGAGCCATGCAAGGCCTTAGCAGTCATGCTCTAATTTTGTGACCCAGTATACATTTTTAATCTCTAGAGGTCTCAGCTTCCCCAAAGGAAATGGAGAAATTACTTGCCTTACCTGGTTTTTAAAAAACAGCTAGTGAAACAGTATCTCCTAAGACAGGTTGTGATCTTATGTCATGGACAATGCAGAGAATTTTAATTAATTCAATGCACTGAAATATATTTTAAGTGTTAACTTCAATTCTTTTCACTCTGTAGCATTTAATTACATTCTTGTAGAAAAAAAATCCATACTACAGAAAGAAAACTTGAATTTAAGCAGTGAGAGCAGTGACTGAAGAAAGCTGGTCCCTGTTGAGGGTTGGGGACACAACTCATGCACAAATAGTACAGTGCAGTCATTTTGAGGAAAAAAAAGTTAGAAGAAAAATAATGATTTTATCTTTCCAAGTATGTTTCTCAAAAATTTTTGAGTGCTTTTCCTCAAACTTTACAGATTTTAAGAACCAGTTGATCTGCAAATCATCTGAAAACATCTGAGTACATACTGGTAAAGATCTTGATTGGACCTTACAAATTAAAATACGGAAGCTAGTACATCTTTCTTTTCTCTGATGGGCATTTAAAAAAGTCAGTTACATTTATTGAGTGGCTTTTGAGGGATAAAAGTCAGCCACTTGTAATTAATGACAGCTTGATATGAAATCTGGGTATAGTTTGCTTTCAACATTATTTCAGTACTAGGAGGACATGTCAAGTTAAACTATAAACAGTTCTGATCCAATAACATGTGAGTGAGAAAGGGACCTTCAAAGAATTCTCCTGGTCTTGATTTATTTGTGGCATTTTTGACTTTTGGAATACACGGAGATGCTCAGGTTTTACTCCTGGCTCTGTGCTCAGGCATCACTCCTGGTGGTGTTCAAGGGACCATATGTGGTTCAGGATCAAACCCAGATTTGCTGCATGCAAGTTAAGTGCTTTGGTCCATTGTTCTCTTCATTTGATGAGTGGAGGTGACACACAAGGCAGTGCTCGGGGGAGCATGTATTACTGGTGTTTTAACTAGGTTCAGTTACATGCAAAGTAAAAGTTTTAACCTCTTTACTATCTCTGTGGCTCCCTTCTTCATTTTGTTTAATCTCATTTGATTCTTAAAAAAAAACCCTAAGTCTAGAATTTTTGTTACTTAAAGATAACAACTGGAGGTTAGTAATATCAAGCCATGTATCCAGCTTGGACACAAAGGAGTAGATGGCTGGAGCTTAGACACAAATTGAAGTCTTTGGACTCAAAACAGGGTTATTTCCCTACTCTACAGACCATCTTCTTGAGACATAGGGCTCACCGGGCATTTACAAAAGCTGCCTGGGAGATTTCAGATTTCAGAGCAAAAGGCAGGGAGAGTCAATAATGTTCCTGGCAGCTGCCTGGATATGGTGAGTGCTAGGGTGGTTAATGCTCCAGGCGGCTGCTGGGGATATGGTGAGTGCCAGGTTAATGCTCCTGGAAGCTGGGAATATGATGAGTGCTGGGGTGGTTAAGGAGCTCTGCAGAGGACACAGTGTGTTGGCAGAATAGTGGTGTGAGTAACAGAGAGGTTTGTAAAGATACTGGCAACTGGGGCGGGAGAAAAACAGAAGTGGAGTAGAACCAACATAAAACAGAATGGGAGGTGAGATGTGTTTGGGAGATTAAGAATAAGTTTATGTCTTGTGTTTTAATCTCTGTATTATATCTCCAGCCCCTAGAATGAGTTTCTTGACCTATTTTTTTTTCTTCACAGAAAATGTCCCTTTCTCAGGACTCAGGTTATATCTAGTTGCCAAACTTACTCTTTTTGGGGGGGGGGGTGCAGAGTGATAGCACAGCAGTAGGGTGTTTGCTTTGCGCGAGCCAGCCCAGCCAAGCGAGGTTTGATTCGTCTGCCCCTCTTGGAGAGCCCAGCAAGCTACCGAGAGTATCTTACCCGCCTGACAAAGCCTGGCAAGCTACCCATTACATATTTAATATGCCAAACACAGTAACAATAAGTCTCAAAATGGAGATGTTACTGGGCCTGCTCGAGCAAATCGATAGACAACGGGAGGACAGTGTTTGTTTTGTTTTGTTTTGTTTTGTGTCACACCTGGCAATGCACAGGGGTTACTCCTGGCTCTGTACTCAGGAATTACTTCTGGCAGTACTCAGGGAACCATACGGGATGCTGGGAATTGAACTCGGGTTGGCCGCGTGCAAGGCAAATGCCCTACCCGCTCTGCTAACACTCCAGCCCCGAAACTTATACTCTTAAGTATAAGACATATTTAATTGCTGAACTTATCATCTTAGTGTAAGATATAATGAATTGTCAAACTTATACTCTTACTGAATAAATAATATGCAAACTATAAAAAAGAATGAATTTATGTGACTGAAGTGTCTACAAAATGCAAGGAAGACAAGAACTGAGGTTTAAGATAAAAGCTAGGAGCTAACCAAAAGTCTTTTTTAAAGTTAATTTATTTTTCATTTCATGGTTTTTGTAGGGTCCACATTCAGTGGTGCTTAGGGGCCACTAGGACTGTACCCCATATCTGGGCTTTGCAGTACCAGGCACACGGACCCCACTTGTGCTATCCAGCTGGACAGAGTCTCATTATTCTCAAGTTCTTGCACTTAGCCTTGTAGGTAGAGGGAAAAGTGCTGCATTTGGAGAAAATCTACTGTATATAGTCATGAAATGCTCAGAAATGATTAGTTCAATAATATATTATTTTTTAAATTAAAATAAAAAGGCAACAGCATTAAAATATCCATGTATTAACATCTGATTTTATTAAAGAATGAATTCATTTAAATTACGACTCACACCTTTTATATTGTTATCACAACTCAAGTACCATAAAAAATTCTGAAACTCTTTCATGAATAGTATTGCTATAGCTATAGTGTCAGGCCTCTGTCTCTGATCCACTCTATAGGAGAGGTGAAAAGTAGAAAATCACTGCATCCATTGTGGAAATGGGACAACTTTCCTTCCCAGGTCTCTGCTATCCTTTTCTCTTTCACTCATCCTTTCCTTAGGATTCTGTTACCTCTAAGTTGCAAAGTGGACAGCAACAATGTTCTCTGACCCTCTTACTATGCTTCTCTCCTTATAACAAACCACTGCTTCTGTGCTCAGAAAATGTTGGGGTCCTGAAACAGATACTACCATGAAGCAGGTAATTTATATGCATCATATATGTGTGTATGTGGTGTGTTGAAAAAGATGTTAAGAATCTTGCTCAAGGCCATACAGGGATAAAGAGACTAAAGAATCAGACGGTAAATTTAACTCAGATTAGTTAAAATGTACCTGAACAATTCCTTAAAACAGGAATTGGCCAATAATGAACAATATCCCAGTAGTCTAGTTCACCCATTGCCTCTTTTTATAAACAAAGTTTTGCTACAACACAGCCAAACCTCTTTGTCTACTTATTGTCAATGGCTGCTTTCACACTATAATGGCAGATTTGAGTAATCGTAGTTAAGAACTTATGGTGGTAGTCCAATTATGCCAGCACCATTTGTTGTAGAGGCTTTCCTTGTTCCACTTCACATTTCTTGCTCCCTTATCAAAGATAAGATGTTCATACATTTGGGGTTGTGTGTAAGATATTCCACCATGTTCCTTTGGTCTGTGGCCCTGGCTTTGTTCCAGTACCATGCTGTTTTAATTATTAACACTTTGTAGTAGAGTTTGAGGTTTGGG